TAACCTCCCCGCTGACCGCCTCATTGATGGCGGCATTGAACTTTCTCCTCATTTGCCGTACTGCCGAGTAAAGTGGATCGACATTCAGCCTGTGTGGCGATATCCCTTGGGATTCCTGACATATCTGAGTGAGAAAAGGCAAACAAATCGGCGTTGCTAGTTAAAAACTCACGATATTTACCTGGTTCTGAGAGGTTGTGTCCAACATAAGCCTTTCTTGTGCTATCGGTGTTGTCCAATTGGACGGGATCGAGATCTTCTACGGCTGCGTTGCAAGCTTCTACGATGTCCGGGTCTTTGATGGCCTCTACTTGTACGTCGGGTTTGGTTCACGACATGGCTGATTGCTATGCCTCCGCACTTGCCCCTTTTAGTTGTTTGGTATGTATGCAATGTTGGGCGATCCGGTAGCATTCTTGGGCGGTGCGTGGCTCGCCTCGGATGCTGAATATATCCCCCATGGGGTGGGAAATTTGATTACTTAATAGAAACTTGACGGGACGGCTCGCATGGCGTGTATCCATGGGCGTCCTATGATGGCGTTGTAGGCTGTTTCCTGATTCATGACGTGGAATGTCGTTTCCAGGGTGACCCTTCCTGCCAGGACGGGTAGCACTATTTCTCCAGATGTTCGCTCCACTGCATTATTAAAACCCGTTAATGTTATGCAACACGGTGTTATTTTATCCTCGAACCTCATCTGCATGAGAACTCGTGGGTGAACAATACACGCGCCGCTTCCGTCATCCACCATTATTCTTTTTACATCGGTATCCGCGATGCGCAAAGTTATAACCAAAGCATCATAGTGAGGGAACGACAAACCATCGATATCCGACTTATCGAAGATGATACTGTCTTCGAGGTCGTCATACCGTTCGTGGGCAACTGTCCGTTTGAGTTTATGTGTGGTGGTGAATTTCACATGGTTGATTACTGTGTCGTCACCGCTGCCAATGATCATTTGTATGGTACGAGCTGGCGATGGTGGTTTTGGAGTTCCTTGAGGTTGATCGCGCCCTCGAGCGAAATTAGCCCGTCCTCTGTCGCTCAGCTGCTCTTTCTGGTATCCCTGTTTTAACATTTTTACTACTTGTCGCAGACCTATGCAGTCTTCGGTCTTGTGTCCTCTTTCTTGGTGGAATTCACACAGGACGTTTGACCTCCTTCTGCTCGGATTCGACTTCATCTTTTGCGGCCACTGCACCTTCGTGTCGAGCTTTTCCAGTGCGTACACTATTTCTGAAGGGGAAACACAAAAATTATGAGCGGATAACAATGGAGGCATACCTCTTTCGTTTCGGATGGGTGCGATGTGTCGAGGCGCGACATTTGCATGTCGTGGAGGAGGCAGATTGGATGTTCGGATATAAGGCTGGTGCCTTTCTCGATTGAAACGTGGCAGTTGATCCCTTCGCCCGTCGTTGCGACGATCTCTCCTTATCTCGGTCTGGACTGATGTTAATCGCTGAAGCGGGCCGTTCAGGTCATCCTCGTCTGCCCTCACTTCGGCGCAATAGGCATTGTGGATCTCTTCCCACGTGGTAGGGGTACTTCATGAGTCTACTGAGTAGCTTTTTGGTTGCTTTTGACCCGTTTCTGCTTAGCCCATTTTGAAAGGCTGCTACTGTCATCCCTTCTGACACGTTCGGTAGGCTCATCCTTACCCTGTTGAATTGGGCTAGGAAATCCCGAAGTCCCTCGCCCGTCGTTTGCTTGACGGCGAAGATATCATTGACCCTAGCCTCGGCCTTTTTCGCTCCCGCGTGAGCGGTGACGAACTTATCGGCCGTCTCTTCGAATGTTGATAACGATCGTGCTGGTAGTTGGGAATACCATGTCAACGCTCCCCCTGTTAGAGTTTCGCCGAACTTTTTCAGCAGCACAGACGATACTTGTTCTTTTCATAGATCGTTACCCTTTACTGCGGTAACGTAATGGATTAAGTGATCCTCCGGGTCCGTGGTGCCATCATATATTTTCAAATATAGCGACATTTTTAAGGTCTTTGGAATATAATGGGGAGCTGCCTTTTCGCTATATGGCTGTTTGACGAATCGGCCCACATCGCGTTTTGGTAACAACTTCGGGGCACCTGGTATTTTATCAACCCTCTCTTGATGTTCCTTCATCTGGTCGCAGAGTGTTTTGTTCTCATTTTCCATCTCTTCCATTTTCTTTAAGATGGCCGTAAGTGCATCGTTGCCTGTATCAGCAACAGTACGAGTGTTACCCGTTCGCGTAGTGCCTGGCTCATTGGCAACAACTGCGGTTTTTGCGGGTAATGTCTCCATGAACGGGTTTCTCGAGCATGCTGCTCAAGGTGTTTGTTAGCCATTCTTCTAATAGCTTTTTCACGGCCGATGGTGCTTCTCCTGCTGCGGATGTTGAGGTTTCCCTCTCGCGCGAGACCGTTAGACCTTCGTGCGGAGGAGGTGACATTTCTCCTTCAGGTGTAGCACGTGATGTTGCGTTTTCGTTGTCTTCCCCACTGGCATCGTTGAGGGAATTCAGGAGGTTGTTCGTGACACCTACTATTGCCTTTAGCCTTGCTTCTCCCTTTCCTGCCATTGTTGGCCTTTGTGGAGCTAAAGAGAGGTGGTTATTTCTTTCAAGAATCTAGATGAAAACTACAATTTCAGCTATAGAAATCCCCACAGACGGCGCCAAATTGTTTGACTCAAAAGATATTGAAATCTTTTTGAACAAATCAATCGAAGATGAAGGGGTAAATCTTAGTTGAGAATAATAATCTCGAGAAAGAATGATAGATAAAGAGAAGACGAATCACAAGACTTCTTTTACGATCTACTTTTCTCCAAACCTTTTAGAAATCTTTTCATTCATAAATAGTAATGTAGCCAACATTCAGAATCCCCCCTTTACAATAAAGGAATATTGTCCTCTATATATATAAAGAGCGAGACTCTTCTAAGCTGTAAAAGACAAATTACAAGGAATATTCGAAGGAATATTCCTAATGTCCCCTAATGGGTTTACATTATTACAAGGGTCATCCAGTCTCTTGTTTGTCTTAAGGTCATCTCCCTCAAGACATCGATTCAAGGAGACCCCGCCAATCGTCGTGCTCGTCGTCGGTCGTGGTTGGTCAAATTTGGACCCATACACTTATGTTCTTGATTCCTCATGTGTCATATTATTCTATCATCTGTTCATGGGTCTCAGAAAAATACGTAAGTTGAAAAAAATTTACTTCATGATATTACTCAAAGGCATAATGGTTTTATGACATTCCAAGAGATTTTATTGACGTACTTATTCATGTACATTGACCCATGACCAGATAGCGTTATATACGCGTATATATGTATATATATGTATATGGGATATGAGAAAGGGTTATGGCATTATATACGCACCACCACCTGATCAGCTGGTAGACATTGATGATTTGCCCACAGTGGCCGAGATGATATGATGGGATGCCCTCAGAGGTGATGATGTTATGAACGCATATACCTATGTATGGTATGGCATTTATATGCATATGCACAACATTATAATATTAAATAATTCACAGAGTTATTCAGAATGTGTTGATCAATATGATCCTGCCTCCCAAAGATATATATTGAGCCTTCCATTTTGCTAGTCTCTTCTCACATTTATCAATCAGACCGCTCCATATTTCCATAGCCTTATTTTTTGCCCCAGGGCCAAACCCAAATATACAGTAGGAAGCTTCCCAATGTCACAACCCAATGTCCATAGCCTTAGTGGAATCTTATTATTTTTCATTTTTCATTTTTTAACATATTGGAGTGCACATGATTTTGATGATTGATGCTCTTGGCAGAGAATTTGTTATTTGCATAAGTTTTTATTTGGATCTCGTGTGCAGGAAAAATAAATAAATTATTGACTTCATAAATCACACTCGAAAAATCTGATGTTTTCGGAAGTGGTGGTGGTTGTTATTGTGCTTTAGCCTTGTTCAGAAAACCATACTGTATGGACTATTGTAGTAAAGATATATACGACATTGATGTCAAAGAAGAGAAATTTGCTGAATTATTGGTATCAGCGTTTCCGTGGATAAGTCCTTATTTTGAAGAGGTATATATCATGGAAATGTTGCCCTGGTATGATTTTAGGAAACTAAAACTTGAAATTCCACAAACTATTGCTACCATTTGATAGTTGAGTGGCTCAATTATGCACCTCGCTTGCATGTTATTGGTTTCAAATCAATTTCACTTGCTGACGGAGTTTCCATCTCTCTAGAATAGCATATTTTCTTGCACCTACTTTTCTGTTTTTATATATGATGAGCGGAGCTCCTTTTCTGAGGTTTTAATAGTGAAGTAAAGTTATGAATTCTCGATATCATAAGAAAACAAGTTAATTCCTTCTAGTGATGTTTCTTTATAAGTCTTCCGCTGACCTAGAAGAAAATAAAGAATTCAACGAAACAAAGAAGATATGCCGTGGCTCGTCTTCTAGGGAGTTTAGTTGAGGCATAGGATAACAATATGCCAATTCCAGGTTCAAAATCCGCAACTACACTTAGTGTGAGCCCATCTGCTGTAGTCATTATTGGCAGGTCTTTGTTACGTGTGCTTATATTGCAGGTTGTCTTGGCTGATTAGTTTAGGTGCATGCTCGATGGCCAGGACACACCAATTTTGAAACATAAACATGACAAAGGCTCAAGCAGTGGGATGTACATTTTTTTCTTATCTGAAGATGGTTATTTGATGAACAGTTGTAACAGTTTGAGCATATGTTGGTCTCTTATTTTTTCAAAACTTCTACATTTTGTTTGAGCAAAGTCTTTTTAGACTGTACTGTTTGTTGAACTGAAGCTGTCGGAGTGCATTTTACGCATTTGCATCTTCGTCTATTTCTGAATTTTGTTTGTGTATTCTCACTAGTTTCCTCTGGTGATGTCCAACTGAAGATAAATTCTTGTGAATCTAATCTGGTCCAAGCGTCCAGTAAAGTAATGAAATCCTAATCTGCCCTTGTTACTTGGCTAGGTACGCAACTGCAAGTGCGCGATCTGATGGTCTTCTTCTGCTTTGTGGAGGGAGGGATGCCAATAGTGTGGTGAGAGAAGCATGCTTTCTGATGCAATAAGAAAAAATGATGGATTTTATACTGATTTACTTGTTCCCTTGGTTTTTATCATTAGCATTTTTACTTGCACTTAGAAGTTAGAAGGATATCTCGCTAGAAAGATTGTTCTCTTTCTAGAACAAATGATGCTCTCTTTGTCTCAGCCCTATCTCCTCGACTCCTCTTCTATTTCCATTTCCTCACATAGAGTCATTCTCTTATTTTATTATGTGAATCACCTCTTCTATAAAGTTTTACTGCTAGAGGAGGGAGTCTTTTATTCATTTACTTGTCTTTTCTGCAGCCTCATATGTGAGATAAACTACCTCATTGGCCAAGTGCATGCAAACTGATTTTCTTATAATAGGTTGCATTGAGAGTCGAATTGAAAAAATTGCTTAGACAAGGACACCTTTGTTTACTTAATTATGTCTGTAACCATTTTATGCGAACATCCTCTGTTTCTCTGCCCCAAATTTTGCTCATCTGTTTGGAGGTGCTTCCCTTTTCCCATTTCATGTACCTACTTAGTGGTTAATCACTTTAATGGATAAAACTTGAGTGGAGCTCTTTATCTTTCCCATTTTTGTTGAATATACTCCTTTATTATTTCTATGAAGAACGGTGTGTTTCTTATTCCCTCACTTTTTTGTCATGTCCTCCCACCTTCCTTTCTAGCTTTGCCTCATGTGTCATGATTGCATTCTGCAGATCTCTCTAATCTCTAGCCTGCTCCTTCTTGATCCCTACCTTGGTTGTACTCCATTGTGTTGCCACCTTGCTCTCCCTGATCTACCCATCTGCCCAACCTCTGCTGGGAAACCGTTGTCCAAGTGCCAGCCTTCCCCTCCCCCTCCCCTTCTCTGGTACCTAACACAGTCCTCATTCCCATGATCCCTGCAACCTTCTGCTCGGTGATACCCCATTAATCTGCAGCCCCTCTGTTTTGCCGCTTTGACTTTATGTGTGGTAGAACCTAGCCTTACATTTTGGGGAAAAGTTCATAGCCAAAAAAATGACCCCCACCCAAGAACCTAGTGAAAGAAGAAGATTTGATCTATTCACAATTGGCTGTATGTGCAGTAAAATCTTAAGAACATAGTAAAAAGAAATTGTCAGGGTACGAAACTTTGTTTCCCACAATGCCTGCTCAACTAAATGTTTGATTGTGTTATAGCCTTTAATGTTGCGGAAGATGCGACTTCTTCTCATACTTTGAGATATCCATTGGTGGATTTGTTTATTGAAGAGAAAGCTGATTTTCATCTAGAGCATTGTTTCTGTTTTATTAGTTGTAAGTATTTTTGTTGATTCGGTTGTCTCTTTCTGGTTTACAAAAGGCATATGAGTGCAAAGCTAGTTAAGAAAGGGGAGAGAGGACCTTATCAAAAAAAAAAGAAAGGGGAGAGAGGACCAAAAAGAGGTTATGTGACCCATAAAATAAGGGGAAGTGTGCTATTAACTAGAGGCGTGTAATAAGAGGTTATGACGTTTGCCTCCTCAAACGACATTTCTAAAGACATTTCCTCTAACTTAAGTAATGCAAATCCTTTTTTTCCGCTATAAAATTAAGGACATTAGAGTGAAAAGAGAGATTTCCATGATTTGTATTTTCTGTAGTTTGTGTTGAGTGTTGTAATTTGATGTGATATCTTGTTAACATATCCTGTATGTTAGATACTTCCAAGTTCGAACTATTGTTTCTGTACTCTTTCCCTAACTCACTTAAAAATAACAGACTTATCAACTATCTTTTCTGGATTTCTATGCCCAAGAAACTGTCAGTGAAAATGATGCTGTGTTGAGCTTCATCCACTTAAACATCGCAATAATAATTTGTGTGGTGGAGCGGATTTGTGATCTGAGATTAATGAACAATGGATGTCTGGGGCTTCAGGTTAAGGAAGTATATGCAGCATGATATGATGGTACTTCAGAAACCTGTGTTTTCAACTTCCACCATGTGACGGGTTTAGTTGGATACCCAAAAGGTTATGGGGATTATAGTGCAATCATGCAGGGCAGAAAATTTTTTGTACCGACTATATGAGTACGTATATGGGGTTGCATAAGTGTCCAGTGAAGTGTCTGGTTTTTGATATTCTTAGTGTATTCTTTTGAGCCATAAAGTATCCACACCTATACTACACCTGTTCGACATGGGTTCGTCAAAACAGATGTGAAGATCCATGTAACATAATTGATGAACTCAAGAGTTCTGTTTTTCGTTTGTTCTTTCATCTTCTTTTGGTGTAATTTGATTATTGGATGAGGCCCTGAGCTTTTAAATTGTTACTTCCTCGTATGCTCTTGCACTCATAACCTTTCCCACTGCTTTGTTGATCCACAGCCACTGGCCAGCGCATATGGACTTGCCAAGCATAGAGATGGGCGCTGGGAATGGGCCATTGCTCCTGGTGTGTCACCATCCTCTAGATATCAACATGCTGCCGTACGTGTTTGTTTCATTCCTTTTATTAACTGCATGCTTTCACATAGATACGGTGTTTATCAATTATCAATAATGTTCTGATATTATAGGTTTTTGTTAATGCTCGGCTCCATGTATCTGGAGGGGCACTTGGTGGTGGACGCATGGTGGAGGATTCATCTAGTATAGCAGGTATTTTTTACTTTTAGTCGATACATAGTGGAGATAACACTTTTTGCACTGTTATGTTCATCCCTCACTATCATGGTGCTTTACCCCCTTCTGGCAGTCCTTGATACTGCAGCAGGAGTGTGGTGTGACACGAAGTCTGTTGTCACTAGTCCTAGAACTGGCAGATACAGCGCAGACGCAGCTGGGGGAGATGCTGCAGTTGAATTGACCAGACGTTGTAGACATGCAGCTGCTGCTGTTGGTGACTTGATATTTATTTATGGTGGTCTGCGTGGTGGTAAGACTATAAGATAGACATCAATCAATGTTCTTATATTTGCTTTCAAATTTGATTTCAGATGACAATCATTCTTACTTTTTCTTGGAATAGTAAAGTAACTAGCTGGCCAGAACTGTGGGAAAAAGAAATTGTGAAGCAACTAAAAGTATCTTCTATCTTCTTTCTTCGACTCCAGGGGTGGTGCAGGATGTGCTATGGTTTAGGCATTCATAAGTGGTCTTCACTAGCTAAATCCCGTTCTCTAGTGTGCATATAGCCTGTTAGATTAAAGGTTTTCATGACACACACTCATGCTGGTTCCTGTGTCTTTCATCGATGTAATGCTTATCCTGCCACTGGTGCATAGCAAGTTATCTGACTCAGTAATTTGATATCACTGAAAAATAAACTCACATTGTCACTGTTCAAGTACTGTATTATTATTATACCTTTCTTGGCCTTTTGGCTAAGATGAAGTGCCGAATTAATAGAGGGCATATTTCCAGTCGGGTGTAAAAGGATTTCATTCAAGATTTTTAGAACTGGTCCACTTTAGCTGTAATGATGTGGTGCAACTCATACTGATAAGTCGTGTTTGCACCTAGATGAACAACTATCCCTGTTCAAAACATTTAGTAACTGCAGTAAGGCCAGACAAGGTTGAGGGACATGTGTCTTAGGTCATAGGTTCGAGCCTTGCGCCCAGCGAACTAACTCTGGTTTTTAAGTTGAGAAGGTTCCCGAGTTCTGGACACTGCGGTTGGCCTGGAGGTTCGGCTCAAAACGGATTTTTCGGTCATAAAAAAAAGAGAGAGGGTTGCTCAAGTGGAAAGCACCCTCCACTTCCAACATTTACGGTGTGGGTTCGAGTCACCATGTTACTCTGTCAGATGTGAAAATCATACTTAGCCTCAAATGTATCTGTTGCATGTTTCCAACTGTAAGGAAAATAAGTAGTGTAATGAAAATACCTTGGGAGAAGTTATTCAGATCACTTCCTGGTTTTGCAACAAGTTTAGTGCTGCTGTGTTTTATCGCAGGGGTATTGCTAGACGACTTGCTTGTTGCCGAAGACTTTGCCGCTGCTGAAACAACTAGTGCAGCTTCACATGCAGCTGCTGCAGCTGCTGGGAGGATAGCAGGAAGGTATGGGTTTGGTGATGAAAGAACAAGGCAAACAGACCCTGAGGTAATTAATGATGGCTCAGTTGTACTGGGAACTCCCGTTGCTCCCCCTATAAATGGTGATATGTATTCTGATATAAGCACTGAAAATGCGACGCTTCAAGGATCTCGGTGAGTTTGCAGTTGCATAGTAACTACAGCATCTGCTATCTGTTTTATGTTAATTGTATGATTAGTTTCTGAAGATCTATCTTGTGGTTTGTTTTGCAGGAGACTCATCAAAGGTGTTGAATATCTAGTGGAGGCTTCTGCCGCAGAAGCTGAGGCTATTACTGCTACCCTAGCAGCTGCAAAAGCTCGACAACAAGGTAATGGAGAAGTTGAACTTCCAGACAGGGATCGTGGAGCAGAGGCAACGCCAAGTGGAAAACAGGCGCCTACTTTGATCAAGCCCGATTCTATCTTGTCAAATAATTCTGTCCCAGCTGGAGTCCGGCTACATCACCGTGCTGTCAGTGTTCAAATCCTTAATGCTATGTTAGTCTTAGTGCTCATAAGGTTGACTAATGATGTGCCTTAATGCATTGAAGGTGGTTGTAGCTGCAGAGTCTGGTGGAGCTCTTGGTGGCATGGTACGACAGCTTTCGATTGATCAGTTTGAAAATGAAGGCAGGCGAGTCAGTTATGGAACCCCAGAAAATGCAACAACAGCGAGAAAACTATTGGATCGTCAAATGTCCATCAACAGTGTTCCCAAAAAGGTAAATGATTTGTCTCTAGGCGCATCGCCTGATTACATGCCACAATGTGGCTTACCATTATTTGTCTGATGTGTTATTCAGGCAAGTAAAAAGGGTAAACTGCTTGCAGTTAGTGCATAACTTTTGCTACATAATTTGCTGTGTTGATTAGATCCATATTTGGCTCTTGCCTCTTTTTCTTTGGGTATAGTTGCTTGAAGGACCATGTGTAACATCAAAATGGCCCGGTTGGTAGCACAAAAGTAACCCCCCCCCCCTTCTAAAAACAAACACACACACATATACACAGAGCATAGCTCTATAGCAGGAGGAAGATAGGTGTTCTGGTGACTGTTGTAATGCACAAATTTTGAGGAATGGCTGTTTTATCATTAATTTATTAGTTTTTTTTCCCCTGGAGAAATGGAGCTACCAAATAGAGGTCAGAGTTGAAAATGAAAATGCATATGGTGGAATGCATCATGTTGTTCTTTAAAGCAAAATCTGAACTAATGTCAGACTCTCATATCTTACTCCTATCATTTTAATTTCTTAAAGAATGTAACTGTATTTTGCCTCTAGTGAAAAGCAGTGTTCTACCAATTCCCTGCCTCAAGTTAACAATTAATTTAGTGTCTAGTAGGATTGGATTTTGAAAATGTGATAGATCATAATGTACGCGTCTTATATTTGAGCCGGAGAGCAGAAAAATGGAGAGAAGTGTCTTGAAGATATCACCTGATAAGTTACTTTTCTTTCATCTTTCAAAACCATCAAACCTCTTTTCTTCAAAAGAATTGAAACACATCAAAATTGTACCTTCCAGACTTAATAATAGAAGGATCAGGCAGAAGTATGCTAGGTTAGCAGGTCTTTAACCATATCCTTTTCATCGAAGAATGTGAGACCGCTCACCATTACTAATCGTATTGTCAGCTCTTTTTGTTGATTGAAGGTTTCATTTTTTTCTTTAGATCTCCCAGCCAACAACCTAACCCTAGGTTTGCGATGACCTTGGTTGCATCTGAATTCCTATTTAATGTTTCATTTGGGATGGAAAGAAAAAGATTTGCTGATCTCTAAAGTGAGGATGCTTCCTTCAGCATGAGCTGACCCTTTTGGAACAGTTCAAGAATGGGCGCAACTATTAGAGCCAGAATTCATCCAGGTTCTATTAATCATGAAGTGACGAAAGAAGAAATATCCAAAAGGAAATTTTAGAAGCAGCAAAGTGAAANTGGGGGGGATACAATTGGACTCTCTGCCTTGATTCAATCAGGGTAACTAGTCCATAACCATTCTGAAAGAAAATGTAACTGCCATCATCTTTATAACTTAAGCTGTTATACTCGTATAAAGACAAATAACTGCATTGTGTTAGTTATATCATTTCTTTTCCTTACTGTCTCAGGTGATTGCCCATCTTTTGAAGCCTCGAGGCTGGAAGCCGCCTGTTCGGCGGCAATTTTTCTTGGACTGCAATGAGATGGCTGATCTTTGTGACAGTGCCGAAAAAATATTTGCGAGTGAACCTAGCGTTTTACAGCTTAGGGCTCCTATTAAGATATTTGGTGACCTGCATGGGCAATTTGGGGATCTTATGCGTCTTTTCGATGAGTATGGTTCCCCATCGACTGCTGGGGATATATCGTAAGTGGCTTGACTCGATCTAGCTTCTACCTGTTTTATTATCTGTCCAAGCCGTTTGACAGCATAAATTCCTTGGATTGCAGTATTTTTTCGATTTACCCTCTTTTTATTTTGGATATTTTGATTGAAAATTGCGGGCGTTGCAGTTTGCGTGTTATAACTGTCTGGTGTCTCGGTACGGCTATCAGAATTCTGATATTGATTTTATGGAAAACGGTCATATTTACCCCTCTGCTTTTGAGAGTTGTTCATATCTACCCTCCATTTGAGTATTCGACTGTGTATAGCCCTACCGTTACACATTTGAACACAAATATCACTCAGCCGTTAAGAGACCCGGACCCATCATCAAAATCAACAAGTGGAGGGCCAATACACATTTTAAAACACCCAGTTCATTTGCCCAAACCCATTATTTGACCCAGCCGAAAATCTTTTTTAATTCGTAATGTTTACAAGGTCCGAATTATCCCCAATTGCTCAAATTAGGAATAATAACTGTATTCCTCATCTTGGCTGTGTTTGTCTCCCATATACTAGGCTTTTGTGCTGTGGAACCATTTGATTGTAAAATCCTGTTGTCTTCAATTAAAGGGAAAAGATGAGAAACCTCTTCGTAAAAGTTATGTAGCATAACCAAATATCCCATGTAGCAGATTATGTAGCCTATATACATCAAAACTTATATTCTAAGCGACGCTTTACTTGGTCCAGGTGAGGCTGCCACAATATTCTCTTGGTGTCTATTTGCTGCCTCTCATGTCATTCTGGCTCCCGCAGACTTGTACCATTTTTTGGATTGATCTATCACTTAGATCAGTTTGATGTGTCAAGATTTGTTCTTCTAGTTTGATACTAATTTTGGTAAGTGAATACCAGGTATATTGACTACCTCTTCTTAGGAGATTATGTTGACAGGGGCCAGCACAGTTTGGAAACGATAACTCTTCTTCTTGCTTTAAAGGTACCTCTTGTGTCTAATTCTTCTTGCTTTAGAGGTACTCTTATATCTGGATGTTTGTATGCTTTCAACTTCTTAGTTACTCTGTGATTTTGATGATCATAACTTGATGCTTTAGGTTGAGTATCCCCTCAATGTACATCTAATTCGTGGGAACCATGAAGCTGCAGATATTAATGCGCTTTTCGGCTTTCGAATTGAGTGCATCGAACGGATGGTATGTTATGATTTACTGGGTGAAGCTTGTCCTTCCTGTCAAGCTAGATACTGATGTCCATTTATGCAACAGGGTGAGCGAGATGGAATTTGGGCATGGCATCGATTTAATAGATTGTTCAACTGGCTTCCTCTGGCAGCATTAATCGAGAAAAAGATAATCTGTATGCATGGTGGTATTGGAAGGTCAATTAATCATGTTGAACAAATAGAAAATATCCAGCGTCCTATCACTATGGATGCTAAATCAATTGTTCTTATGGATTTATTGTGGTTAGTCTCTCTCTTCTCTTGTGCTTCCTTCATTGACTTTAAATACTCATTTTTTCTCACATCAGTGTGTGTTTCTAGGTCTGACCCAACAGAAAATGATAGCGTTGAAGGATTAAGACCAAATGCAAGAGGTCCAGGATTGGTCACTTTTGGGGTGAGTAATTTTCTTCCCATATCAATTTCAGGGAGTTAATTTTCACCTGATCTTTTTTTGGGGTAGTGGAAATTTTTGTTTTCTTTCACCTATTGGTCTCTTAGTTTGGAAACCTGCAACTTTCTTATTAGTTAACTGAAGTTACTTAAGAGGGCCCATTGCAGAAAGATATGATATTTCAAACATAAAAATTAAGATTGCTCCTTCTGCCCTCTTTTTCCACTTTGACATTCTATGGGCTGTCATTTTCTTGAGTTTGCTTTGTGCAAATTGCAGCCCCTTCCATCTTTGTAACTTGGACGTTTTTAATTTCTATGTCCAAGCTCTTTTCATTCAAGACAATTGAACTCATATGTCATTGAAGTCACTTATCTGTTTGCTGAACTGGAGTTTTGGTACTTCAGTTTATGTGGTGCTTGAATATTAGATATCACTGCTATCCTGTCTCAGGGGTCTTTAGCGTGATGCAGTTTCTCTAGCATTTCCTTTCGCACTAATGTAAACACTTGCATACATGCAGCCTGATCGTGTGATGGAATTCTGCAACAACAATGATCTTCAACTGATAGTCCGAGCGCATGAATGTGTGATGGATGGATTTGAACGATTTGCTCAGGGACATTTAATTACACTTTTCTCAGCCACTAATTACTGTGGTATGATGTTACAAATTTTGGATGTTTGGAGGTTTTCTACTTTATATATATGATTTTATCTTTATGCAAAATATAATGTTCTTTTTTTTTCCTTTCTACAGGTACTGCTAATAATGCTGGTGCTATCTTGGTATTGGGTAGAGATCTTGTTGTGGTTCCAAAACTTATTCACCCGCTGCCGCCAGCAACATCTCCTGAAACTTCACCTGAGCGGCATATAGAGGACACTTGGATGCAGGTTTGTTATTTCCAGATCTTCTTCGACCCGCATATTCTTTGCTTTGATGTGTATCTAATCACTCTTACAACTGTTGGGATAGGAGCTAAATGCTAACAGACCACCTACACCAACTAGAGGACGTCCTCAAGTTGCCAACGATCGAGGTTCTCTCGCTTGGATTAGAATATAGTTCGATTATTTTGCTATACTTCCAGGCTCATGCTTACATGTAGGATTTCCAGTGATATGTACATAGCATGACACCATTCAGAGAGTTCCACGGAGATACGTATCCTCTTGGGAAGTTGGAAGGCTTGAGGCACCTTGGGGATTCTTCCACAGAAAAGATGCTTTCAGAGGATCAGATTTAGATATTGGAAGTTGCAGGCACATGGATACATCATGATGCAGAGCAGTTCGGGGTTTCTGATAGGTGCCCTTTGTACATTGAGCCACAAGCAGGTAGAAGGATTTTATCATGATGCAGAGCCAGTTCCTGGTGGTTTTTTTTTTTTGTATTTTATTCCTTTTTAAAAGCCAGTTCCGGGTGGGTAGTGCTGGGTTTTTATTGTATTTTGTTCCTTGTTAATCCTACATATTTTTTTCCCTCGTTTAGGGTGTATCATTTTTGTCTACGGTAGAAGAGGACTCGAGTCGTCCCCCACATATGATTGCTGAGATTTATAATCCTGAAGATAGCTGTCGTAATTCATGTATCATAGAGGTGGTTGCTTTGTGTAATTGTATTGCTGCCTTGTAAAATGTTACTTCCACGTGGGCAAGAAAAAGATACGAATAGCTGCTCATCTACTATTTATGCCTTTTATTTTCGTCTTCCCTGTAAGAAATTTAGAAACTCAGTTGACAGCATAAGCTCCTTGTTTATTGCATGCAGCGCCTTTAGATGTTTAGTATTCTCTCAATGCATTGAGCTTCCGCCATTGACTACGTCTTTGGGTTTCTTCAAAAACAGTTTACTTTTATCAGTAGAATGTTAGACTATTCTTTCATTCTACAGCTTTACAAACTATCGTCAGGAACAGTACCTTGTTGAGTTGTGGAGATTGTGTTGTAATGAGTTATTTGAAGGTGTAGTACACCTTCACTTTTGATTTGGGGGTTGACGTCTTGAGGTGTATAGGCGACCTTTTTAGAGTAAACAAGAATTCGATTGAATTTAACTTTTAACAATTTTTCTCTTTCTCATTCTTCTTCCATGTGCGCAAGCACCAATTTCTCTTGACCAACGGCCATTTGAAGTCTACATCTTTAACTCCCATATATTCTTGCAAACTTCAGCATGTTTGACTACTGACGAAAGATTAGCAGAAATATCGAGATGTAATGTAGGGGAAATCGAATATGGCTTCTTCAGTATATCTGTATATGTACATTACCTTAATAAATGTATATTAGTTTCAGGTTTTGCATACGCAGAGTCATTTACGCAACTGGAGCTAGAGAATACTGAAAATACATCAAATGTAATTCAGTCAAGTCTTTCCATGTCATTCTCTAAGAGGTGAATTTCGCCAGCTCTGTCTCTTGGTCCAGCAACCGCTACATTTCTTGAATGGCTATTGCCTACATAACCCCTCTCCCGCTTTAAAGGAATTGAGTGTCAGAACCCCTATGTAGTTCTCGGTCCTTTTTTTAAGAGTTCCTAACAGGTGCTTTTGTGGCTCTTCACTCCAGCCCTGAAGTAATTTGTGAGCTTATTTTAACGTGGATTCTCTCTCTCTCTCCATCTAGATTTCACATTGGGAAGTCTGATGATCGAATAAGGTAACCAGTGCAGAACAGAATACCAAGAGCTGCCATCTTCCCGGGCAGGTCCACACTTGAATGCAAATAATAATTTGCTGCTCAATAATTAGTTTCTCAAAGGATACATCCTTACACAAGCGTGAAGCTTACCCTTAAGAAGTCAGTTCCTAAGCTTGGATGAGATTCACATAACTGTGAGAGGAATAAAAAACTATCAAGTACCTGTGTTAACCTCGTTTAACTGGTCTTTAAACATAAGATTTGTTGAGATCTTCTGTCTTGACCTTTGGAGGCCGAATCTCTCCTTTCTTAACCTGCAGAAAAGCATGATGAAACTTGTTCAATCATTTTTACCTCAATTATAAAATGCTTGTCACCCACACCCTATTCTTTATCATTACAATCAATGATGTTTCCCAAGATCATCACTCAAATTCAAAGTAGTTTTTGTTAAAGGAAGAGCCATAACTAAAAACATTCTCTTAGTATAAGAGCTCATCAATGATGTTGGCAAACCTAAGAAAGGAGCTAATGTGGTGATTAAACTGAATATGGTTAAAGCCTATGACAACGTCTCTTGGCCTTTTTTATGTTTTATGCTGAGGAAACTGGGATTTGCAGAAGAATGGATTGAACTAAATATAAATTCATTTCTAAGACGTGGCTTCTTCAAATCAGGAAGAGGCTCCAGACAGTAACAACAACTAGATAATAACAGAACCAAAACAGAAACATCATCGGGTAGTAATAAAAATCTAATAGTAATAAAGAAATAACCCTCTACCTTAATCTTCAACATCCATACTTTCTCATCAAGAGTCATGTCCTCAACAATTACGTGAATTTGAATTAATTGAGACTTAAAAGTAAATATCGCACATTAGGAGGAGAATTATAAAAACATTAAAAAAACAACCTGATATCGTCCTTTACGTCAGCTGACGGCAAAAAAAGGGTCCCTATTCTACGCATCACCTAACTCCCTCGCAACTAAACTCCATTCAACCAATTTCACCATTCATCTGCTCCATAATTTCTCTTTCTCTCTCTCTCTCTTCTCAATCTTCACTTCCACTCTTCTTCTATCCCTCAAACCCTAAGGGCATCTCCAACCTTGCCCCAATCCCTCATAGTGGAGGAAATATTTGGGGGAATTTAGCTCCAACCCTCCCCTATTTTTGTCCCCAAAATGGGGGATGAATAGTATTCCCTCAAATATGGGGGTACACTATTCATCTCCCACATTACTATTCATCACTTTATTATTATTATTATTATTATTTTATTTAATCTTTTAATTTATCTCTTTATATATACCTAATTATGTTTATGTAATGTATTTATAATATTAATATTATATCTTAACTTTGGTGTATAATTTTGATAAATTAATTTTCGTGCATTTATTATTTTTATGTAGAAATAGCAGTAGATGAAAATCAACGATTTCAAGAATTTTTATTTCGACATAGAATAATTAAGGACAAATATGCTCATTTTGCACTTCGTAATGCATTAATAGATCATTTATGAGAGAATATTAGAGGTTGAAGTTGAATATTTATCTAGTATTTCGAATGAATTTTATCGTTATGTAATATGTATTTAATTAATCTTGTATCACAATGATTTCACTTTTATTTGAATTATTAGTTAATCTATAATAATTGCTTACAAATTATATTATTTAAAATTTTATGGAATTGTTTTAATTATGGAAATTATAAATTAATAAAAATAAAAGATGGAGTTTATTTAATGGAAATTAAAAATTAAAATTGAAATGAAAGGTAATAATATAATATAGAAGATAAGGAAGAATATAAAAAAGTTTGGGGAAAAAAATTGGGGAATGATTGGAGTAAATTGTCTCCAAAATGAAAAAATTCCCATTTTGGGGACCAAAAATGGGGTAAAGGTGGGACATGCCCTAATCTCAAACCTCACTTCTACTCTTCAATGGAATTTACACTCTAAATTTTGTCCATCGCTCATTTTCCCAACAATGTTGAATTTATACATCCTTATCCCATCTCTTACACTTCTCATCTCCATGTCACGTCCTTAGTTGTTAACTAAGTACACGTGCGATACTTGACAACTCGCTCACGATCTTGCACAACTTGCTCACATTCTTGCTATGCCAAGTCAGCCTTACTACCTTTAAGATCGCTAAGAGAATGGAAGAAAGAACACAAGAGAATTGTTCAAGGAAGCTTTGTATTAGAGAGAACTTGAATTGTTTGCTTGATGAATTACAAATGAATGGTCCCCTTTATATACTAGTCTCCTAGGGGCTAGTGTGTAAATATTAATTACTACACAAGTCCTTGATATTTACAAGATAAGGGCTTTTTTTAGAATTTTCTATAAGCCTAAAAGATTCCAAAGACTTTCCTAGCAAATCCATAAGGATCTAGGTTCTTCCTAAGGAAATGTCCATACCTCTCTAGAATCTTCTCACAAATGCTAGCCTTCTTCTTATGTAAGCTTCCACATGGCATTAATATATGCCAAATGGCGCCTATGTGGCATGATGACATGGCGGATCATCACACTCTCCCCCACCTAATATTGCGACGACCGCGGCGCAATGCTGCTGCATAAACTCTCAGATCTTATCTTTGAATTGCCACAAGTCTTCATATCGTTCCCACATGGCCTCCTCCGATGATTGCCCTTTCCAATAGACGAGGAACATAGCGGTGGCTTTTTGCCCTTGTTTTCGCCTGGCCTGGTAATCTATGATAGCCTTAATCTCCCGATCATGCGAGGCGGTGATAGTCATTGGCGCCCGACTTGATTGGCCCCTACTCGGATCATCCTTATCTTCATTATATGGCTTAAGCATGCTGGCATGGAAGACAGGGTAGATCTTAAGATACGATGGCATGTCAAGCTTGTATGAGATCTTGCCTACCTTAGCGACGATCTTAAATGGCCCCTCATACTTGCGAATCAGATTCTGATGCATGCCCCGTAGTGCTTTGAACTGTCTTGGGTTAAACTTCACCATGACTATGTCCCTAACTCCGTAGTATGTGGGACGCCGCTTACGGTCCGCAAACTTTTTCATCTTCTTAGCTGCCTTATCCAAGTAGGACTTAGCAGTGTCGAGCTGCTCCTACCATCCTTTAGCCATATGATAAGCTCCCAAACTCTTTCCCTCGAATGCGGTTGGTAATAAATGTGGAGTTTGCGGTTGTTGGCCTGTGGCTAGCTCAAATGGTGTTCGCCTAGTGGACTCACTCCGCTGCAAGTTATAAGAGAATTGGGCGATGTCTAGGAGCTTTGCCCAATCTTTCTGATGCGTGCTTACATAATGCCTCAAGTAGCATTCTAGTAAGGCATTGACTCGTTCCGTTTGTCCATCCATCTGTGGGTGGAAACTAGTAGAAAAGTGCAGTTCCGTGCCAAGTATGTCAAACAACTCTCTCCAAAAGTTCCCAGTGAAGCGGGGGTCTCGATCACTGATGATATGCCTT